GCCACAGCTGCGCGGAGCTGCAGGCGTCCCGATAGCGCCCGTGGAAGAGGAACGCTTTCCGGGGCAGGCGGCTAAGAATTGCCTGTCTGAGAGCACAGCTGGGCGCAGCTAATAGCTTGGTTGAGTTCACTTCTCTTAAGTGAATTCACTTATTCATTTGTTTTCTCCCCTCCCGAGTTTTAGCACTTCAGGCTGCTTATTGCCTGAACTAGACTAGGGTTTTGTTTTCCCCAGTTTTTAAATGGACTGAATTTCTCTGGATTCTGTCTTGTAGTCCTTGGTGGCACTGGAACGCATTGTGAGCCCCGTGATATCTGAAACCCTGTAGATTATGCCTCTGTGTTTTCCATTAACCCTGGTTTAAAATTAGATCTGTCCAACTTTCTGGATGTCCTCTCTCCTCCCCTCTCCTCCTTCAGTAACTTTTGTGGTGTGCGAAACCATGTTAGCAGTAGGGTGCTAGTGTGTCCCCTGCTCCGTTTATAATACGAACTAATGCAACCTTCCGTGTTGTCTGCTATCCAACGTGCCATATGTACTGCAGGAATGAGATTACAGCGCTCTGAACTGAATCCACCTTAAATATGCTTATCTTGTGGCTGGCTTAGCAGAGCACTTCAGCTGAAGTGTCAGTTTTGCTTTTGTTCCCTTACTGGGACATGGTTCGGGCAAAGGAGGAGACTGAAGCGTTGTTTCAGCACCACCGTTAAGATCAAGCATCGCATGTCATGTGTTGAACTGTCTAGATATTGCAACCGCAAACCTTTTGGCGGAGAGCCTGTGCCTTCGCCCACCCTGCCTGCTGCAGGCTCTGCTGCTCCCTCCCTCTGCTCGGAGCAGGAAAAGATGTCTCTCTCGATACGGGTGGGTGTCGCGTTCATTCTGCACCACGTAAAAATGTGGTTGAATACCTAGTTTTACTCTTCCTGTTGCGGTGTCACCCATTGACTGCTGATCCCTGGAGACACCGTGCCCTGCATTCCCTCAGCGAGGGAGTAGCGGCATGCCTCTGCCGCTCCTTGGCAGCGCTGCTCCGGTGGCGCCGTAGCGGTAGAGAGGAACGGATACGGCTTTTATAATGCAACGTTTCATTGATGGCGACTCCAAGGAGCTTTTCAGTCAGTGGTGTTGCTAAGATGTAACGTTGCCCTGTCCACACCTCAGTGGTCAGGGCCCTAGCAGCCACCGTAATAGTTCTTTCCAACCGAGGACTTCTCTGTGCTGCAGGACTGTTGCTAGCCAGTTGCGCCAACGTTGAATAGCTCTATGCTGAACGCTAGCCTTAACTTCTTGAGGTCAGGTTCTTCAGGAAGTGCCAGACTAGTTGTTTCTCTTCAGGCTCTCACCTGTCCGTAGAGGCAGATTTATCAAGCTTTGCTTTGAAACAGAAGATTGTTCAAAAAATATGGCTTCCAGTGCTTTTATACTGCTGGCTTCCTGAGACTGCCCAGGGTACGGAGGGGAGCACCTGCATCAACCTGGCTGTCCGCGGTAAAACCTACTGTTTTGGTGGCAATTGTTGTATTGTTGATTGAGCAGCAACAGTTCCAGGCTCAAAGCTTTGGTTTCCCTCTCTGCAAGTGTTTGTAATGTAGTAACAAACAGGTTATTACTGAAAACTTTAGAGAGGAGAGCTCCTGGCTGCTGCTTCATTGCCTCTCTGTCACCACCATATGTTTATAGCAACTCGTCCTGTCAAACGCTAAAGCAGGCCCTTCAGGCTTGGCCTTTGGCTCTGGAAAATGGGGGAAAGGATGAAGTACAGCGTCTTGGCTGCATGAACGCTGAGCCTGTCACCTCTTCCTCTCCTCGACCTGTGTCCTGCCTCCTGCACTCTGCAGGGCTGAGCGGCTACCACTTATGGAGGAAATGCACGTTTCCTGTAGAGGCAGCCCATTTCTGCCTTGTTGAACGCCGAGTTCTTTTGTATTTCTCTGAACTTTGTTGCACTTCTTGAGATGAAAGAGTAACACGTAGGCAGAGGTTGGAGAGATCAGTATTTCTCAAAGTCCCAGCACATACAACTCCCTAGCCGGATCCAAATGGCCTGGTATAGACTGATAAACACTGTACCTAAACAGCCAGGGCTGAGACATAATCCGTTAAACTTACTGTCTAGCTATTGACGCTTCTGTCTCTGCATTGATGCAAAATCTCTCTGTAGCCTTCTGAGAGGAACTAAATCAACATGTCTTGAAAATCCTTTCCATCACCTCTTTAGATGCTTGCTGCAGAAGTCCTATGCTGTACAGCTCTTCCAAAATAGCACTTGGGAGCTGGGTATGGGGTCTCTTCACACTTGTGTGTTTAGCTGAAGGCAAAAAAGTCCATATCCCATAAGATTCCCGTTGTCTGTTGTCTTCTAGTGTTAGAAGCAGGCTTGGCTTTTGCTCATTTAGGGCTCACGTTAGTTGTTCTAATTTTGGTCACTGGCAAGTCTTCTGGTATGATCCGAAGACAGCTGGCACCTCGTCCTGTCTTCTCCCTCCGAGCAGTTCTCTGCAGCTTGAGCACCCCGTCCCTCCGACGTGCACTGGAGCAAGCTGTGGGAAACCGCTGCTAGCTTTGACTTTTACAGTGCCCGTGTTCTTAGTCTGGTGATAGCAGCCTCGTATAACGTTACGAGCAGAGTGCACCGTCAGATTTTTGTGCAGCCCTTGTTGGCTCTGATTTTAGGTGTCTCTCTGTAGAGCATGGTGGGCGGGGGACAGGTTTTCATGTCCCGAGGCGCCTGTAGGATCAGAATTTCAAAGGAGCATCTATTGCTTGAGCAACGTGACTAGTCTGGATTATCGTTTTATTATGAGCACTCAAGTGTGCCTCATACCTTTTGAGTCAAGTAGAGAGACCTGTTCCAGAGCGCTGGCACGCGTGCCGCTATACGAGGGACTTGCAGGAGGGAAGAAGCGGTCCTCACAGGTGAGGATCCTGTGGCCCAAGTTCCGTTTTTTGCCTGAGGTCCTTGCCTTGTATCTTGTGGGTTGGCCTTTAATTCCCTGTTATGACTGCTTCCCCTCTTTCATTTTCCCAAGGCTCTTCCTGAACTCGTTGCTCTCTCGTTTCACCTACAGCTGTTTGAGAGGAAAAGGTAGGGCCAACGTGGGGACTGCTGCAGAAAGCCCTGATCTTCCCTGGCATGGAAGACTCTCCTATACCAGAGGACTGACAGGCTAAATGTTGGTACCTTAATAAGCTGAAAGTAACTGGAGACTTGCACACAAAAAAAGGTTTCAGGATAGTGGGAGCTTGCTTTGTGGCCTGACTTGGGCTGTTCAGCTTTGTGTGTGGGATTCTTTCCCATTTGGAGGGATGTTAATCACTATGACAGCCAGTATTTGATGCTGTCTAGGGTTCTGCTAAGCTGTGTATGCTTATGGGAGCGTCTGAGCAGAGACACTTGCTTGCCGCTTCTTCCCCAGATACGGTATGTGGGGCTGTTTGCCAGCAGTTTAGCTGAGGCTGTTCTATTTAATAGGCTGGGGTTGCGGCGAATGCTGAAGCTGCCTCTCAGATGTGGTGTTTACTTTAGGTGTCAATTTGGCTTGGACATCACCTGGGTTTTAATCGCTTCGGGCAGCGTCAGGGTAAGAACATCCAGCACCCTGCAATCCTTTGCTTAGAGCAGACAGCGTGGTGGTGCCAGTGAGACATTGCAGGGGGCGGTGGGTGGCTCTCAGTGTGTGCGTGGGTCTCCCACCCTGCTACTTCGTTGCTGCTCCCTCCTGTCTAGGGCCCAGGACTCAGCCCAGGCTTGGTGGCGCTGTCTGCGTCCCTCTGGCCCTGACTCAACGTCCATCATGGTTTCGCAGACACACAGCGTCCCCTTCACGCATGCAGATCTGAAACTGAAGGGCCGGGAGTCTCTCCTCTGACTCGGTCCTGGTGCCCAGAACTAGGGTGTGGATATCTCTTCTCTGGGAGGCCTGTAAGGGGACACTGTTTCCAGAGAGCCCTGGCATGTGCTTCCCTGCTTGTTTACAAATTCTCCCGTTACAGTCCCAGGGTTGTGCAAGAGGCCCTGAGGCGGGGAGGGAGCATAGGCTCCGTGCTGGGCTCTGGAGGAAGACAGCGTTCCCCCTTAAAATCCAGCAGGCAGCTCCGTCAGCCCCTAGAGCAAGCCTGAGAGAGACGCTCCATACCCCTGGGGCGACGCTGCCCTGCGTGGAAATAGTAGTTGAAGCCTGCGTTTCTCCCCGTGGGCTGGGGGCCTGCCAGGCAGCTGTGAGGACCGAGAGCCAAATCTCTCTCCACCCTCTCTCCTCCTGTTAGCCAGTTCCACTGTTGATCCTAGATTTGGGTGGAGGCCCTGAGAGACCACATGAAAGAGCAGCTTCCCGAGCCAAAGCTGCAATCGCCTGAGTCCTGCTCCAGGAGACAGCTTGCAGTGCTTGGCAGGAGTGTTTGTGTTGCTCCCAGCCACAGTGGAACCAGTGCCATGCACTGTTCTCCAGCCCACTGCTTCAAGGGAAAACAATCTGGCTAAAAAAGGCCAGTGACCTTCAGAACTAAGAAGGGGAACTTGGAAACTCCCTGGCAGAACGTACCACATCAGCGTTTACGAAGAAATGAGCGGCGACTGGTGTAAATGGTGTGGGCACGACCCCCTAGCATGCGGCGGGTGCAGGGAAGGCTGCGGATCAGCTTGTTCTTAGTCACGTAGCGGAGCTGACAGGGCGTAGGTGCAGGGATAACGGCAGCGTGTGTGATCAGATCCGCCAGGGAGGTGCAGGTGCCCATCTGGATGGGAGTTGTCATGGCAACATAAAGCCTGCAGCCCTGTTTTCCCTGCTCGGGAAAGGTGTTTCCTGACTTTTGCACTGTCCTGCCTTTGTGCTGGTTTCTGATCCGAACTGCAGTCCTGCTGTTCATCCTGGGGCTTAGGGCTTCCGTCTCTCTTTCTCCTGCTATAAAAATATCTTTTTTTTTTTTTTTTTTTGATAGGACATACAAACGCTGCAGCAGCTGTTGCACAGTGAATTGCTCCAGAGCCAGAAGCAAAGACAATGAAGCTGTTGGAGAACTCAAGTTTTGAAGCAATAAACTCCCAGCTAACCGTGGAGACTGGAGATGCTCACATCATTGGCAGGTGAGTGCTATCGTATGCCTGTTTTCCATGTGGGAAGCAAGCCTGCTTTCTCATGCCTTTCCTGTGTCTGAGAAAATACTTTAAAAGGAGTTGCAGTCTGTCAGAGTCAGCTATAAATCTCCTCTTTTCCCAGAGCAGATGGGAGGTTGCTGCTGGCATGGATATGTAAAGCTAAATGAGCCAAGCTCTGGACCAGGAGTTCCCATGACTTTCTGTTCTTTTCCCAGTTGTCCTTTTTTTGGAGGGGGTAGTGAAGGCGGGCTGAGATCCAGTCCAGCCTTCTTTGCAAGTATTTTCTAGGTCCAGGTCATCTGCTACACGGAAAATTAGACGAGATGGCAAGATAGGTCACCTGTGTTTGGTGATGGGAGAAGTGTGCCTGTGACGCATCAGGGGTCAGAGGAAGGGTTGTGCTCCATCGTTCCAGACTCTGATCTCATGCACTTAGTCCCATCGTAGTCCCCCTGCGGTGGTGGCCTTGCAGCTGTGCCAGCCCCTGTTGCTGGATGAGGCGTGGGCCGGTCAGGCCAGGCCCTTTTGTCTCTGCTGTGGGGCTTGAACTGGCGGCAGGTGCTGCATTCAGGTATGGGGCACTCCAAATCCTCTTTGTGGGCAAAGAGGAAACACACCATACATATAAAGCAAAGAATATATTGTTAGTGTAATTGAAGTGTTGGCAGTCTAAATCAAGAATCATCATTAGTCTAGATCTAATTATTGCAAAGAAAGAATAACGATACAGTTGAATACTTCTATGCAGGAGAAGTTTCCAAAATAGTAATAATACAGTTAACACACACACACACACACACGTGCGCACGCATGCATTTATTTCTTAGTTTCTATCTCTTTATCCTGAGGTTATGTTCATCCTTCCACTGCTTCTCTACGTCTTACAGTCAGTAGCTTCAGAGCGCTGGAGAAGGTAGTACAGTGAGTTGTCAGCATCTGGGGTCCTTCGCCTGGAGGAACGTGATGTTCATGTTGATGATTTCTTCTTCCTCCTTACCCTAGGATCCACCTGGGGTCATTCTTTTGTTTATTAACATGCTTTTACACCTTTACTCTTCCTTTGTTGGTCTGCAGCTCCATGTTGTAGCTGAATTTATGATGTATGGTGCCTTTTGTGTATTAGATACTTTTTTTTTTTTGGTTCTCTTTGCTACCCCTAAAACCAGTTTTGTCTGGCTTCAGGTCTGCGTTTCTTTAACTGAGCGTTGGTGAGCCATGAGGTTTCCGGTGCCAAGTCTGTGCCCCGCTTCTTATCATCCCATGCCTGTGCTTCTTTATGCTGCATCCTGTCTCCACTTCTCAAGGCCTCTGCTCTTGTACCGGGCCTATATTTCTCTACACTCTATCATTAGGTTGATAGTTGTAAATATCTCATTCTACATAGATAGATAGGAGTAAGCAGCAGTTAGTCTAAAGCTATGGTTACACCATACAAAAGCAAAAGTAAAACAGAGTAGCCATAGACACCTGGTCAATTAGCGGCATTGCTGTTGCAGCTAAACCAAGTAAAACAAAGTTGCACACAAGTCAAGAAAAGTTCAGTCAGAGCAAGCCTCAGTCCCTGAGGCCTTGCAAACTCAGTACAAAGCTTATGGCCTGTTACTAGCAGTGGCAATACTGTATTACAGGGCTGAATGTTACAGAGGCCGTGTGACGTGATGTCAGAAGCTGCTGGGTCACGCGCTAGCCTACAGGCTTTCTTTCCGAGGATGGATGTAGTTCTGGCAGACTGGATAGTTTTCCTTTGCTTAGGAGGAATCCAGGTGCTCGAGTGGGCTGGGAAGTGAAATTAATTCATTACTGTCTGCAGTTGCTGTTTCTTTCCTTTGGTCGTTTTAACGCCATTTCCAAGAGATTGTTTGTTTCAACGTTCAGCAGTGCCCTCCTCTTGAAGAGGAGGGTTGGGAACAGCACTCCTGGATTCTCATCCCCCTTCTCACGCTGACGGGTCAGTGGTTTTGGAAAGCCTCTTTCTGAAGGCTTTGGTCTTCCCATCCCTAGAACAAGGGAGATTCCTGCCAACTTTGTAGCAGCCTCCCAGGGGGACTGTGGAAAGGACCAATGTTGGAACGATTTGTTCTTACCCAAGCAACCCCAGCTACTTGAAAATCTGAAGGAAACTTTCTATTTGAAGCTTGTACTTAATTGTGAATGTCGGAGCAGGCATTTGGTTGCCTGGCAAGCTGTGGGGCTGTCTTGCCTTCCGGCTTCTGTTGAGCTGCCATAGGCTGGGATCAGTAAAGCTGACGTCCTTGTGTTGAGGGACTAGAATGTGTTTTTGTACACTTTCCGTTCCTGAGTTGGAGCTGGGCAATGTGATCTACAAGTCCTCTGGAAGAGCTTTTAAACTAGATTTGGCAGGGTCCTTCTGCGTGCTCTGCTCTTGGTCACTTGTGAAACGATGCTCTGTTAATTTTGAGAGCTAACAGCCTTGTCAGCTGAGGGTGGCAGTGAGAATTTTCTCCTGAGCAGGCTGTGACAGTTGATTCTTTGCCAGCTGTGGAGCTATTTTTGATACGGGCTGAAAGGATCCTTTTTGGACTTACTTATTTGTCTTGCTTATTTGACTTGACCAGGGCGCTGCAGTGATGAGATGTACTTTATACCTCTCTTTTTTGACCTTTCCACACTAGTGAGGGAGGCAGGTCGCACGTGGGGAACTTGTAGGAATGGCTCTAGTATGCTCTTGGAAGAGCAGTGCAACTCGACCAATCTCTTCTGTTTTTGCTTGAGATAAAGATGCCTGTCCACACATACATATAAATAAAGGAACTTCTGGCACCACTGGTTGCCTGGGGCCCAGTCAAGACTCTGCGTGGTGTGGAGAAGGTTGCTCCTGGGGCCTGGTGAATCCTTTGGCTGTGCTAGCTGCTTGTCTGTGGCCCGTCTTCAGACCTTAGTCTTCCCCTGTGTTGGCGGAGTTGCCACGGTTGCAGCTCTGGGCCTAGACCTTTATGTTGCTGCTAGCCTGGTCCCAGTGTTGCTGGGCCTGGTGCTTGGCCTGGTCTCATGCATGGTGCTGTGTGTCTCCGCAGGATTGAGAGTTATTCGTGCAAGATGGCTGGTGATGACAAACACATGTTCAAGCAGTTCTGCCAGGAGGGCCAGCCGCATGTCCTAGAGGCCCTGTCGCCGCCTCAGACCACCGGGATCAGCCCCAGCAGGTATGATGGGCTGGGGTACTGGGAAGTCCTGGGAGTATTTGCTGTGCTCGGCACCCAAGGCAACGATGTGTTTGTGGGTAGGGGCTCGGGTTCCACTGTGGGAATGGCCTGCACTCCTGCTGTTGGCAGCTGGCCTCATTTCTGTCTTTGGCCCTGGCCTGGCTGGTATGTTCTTGGAGCTTCCCCTGATGGGGCTGGCACACGGTGTGCTGGAACTTGTGCTCCCCCAAGCTGCTGCCTTTCAGATGCTTGCTCCTCTGGTGCAGTGTTGCAAAGCTACTGCAGCTGGCCCAAAGCAGAGAGGCTCAGTTGGCCGTTGGTGCGCGTGTGTTGGTCGCCCCTGGTTAAAGCAATTTAGCTGGGACTGTCTGCCAAAGACTGTCAAACCCGCCTATTGGGATGCTCCTGGCCCGGCTCTGGCGTGGTGATGGCCCATGACAAGGTCTTCAGCAAGGGCTTTGTTTGCTGTTTTCTGTGCAAGTCGCTTGGCCCAATCGAGCAAGGCTCGGCAGGGCGCCGTGCTAGATGTGGGTCGTGGTCAGTTCCATCTGCCTCTGCGTCCCCTCTGGTGTACTGGTCCGGCTCACACTCGTAACGGCAGCTAACGTTGCCATTGCATGTCCTAGGCTCAGTAAAAGTCAGAGCGGTGATGAAGAGGGACCGCTGAGTGACAAGTGCAGCCGCAAGACCCTCTTCTATCTGATTGCAACGCTCAACGAGTCCTTCCGCCCAGACTATGACTTCAGCGCTGCCAAGAGCCACGAGTTCAGCCGGGAGCCGAGCCTCAACTGGGTACGTGATCAAAGCTCCCCGGAGCCAGAGCAGATCCTGCCAGCCCCGGGGTCAGGGCCTGTGTGCTCGTTGCTTGGAAGGCCTGCCATGCTAGATGACTGGGTCCTGGAAGAGAATGAAGCAGGGATCTGCCAGCTCTCAGTGTTGGGGGAGTGTCTGGGTCTCCAGGGAAGCCCACAGTGGTGCTGTGATCCTGGATAATCATTCCCAGGACATTGCTCCCTCCTCCAGCAGCAGCAGTGTCAGCCCTAGGATGATGCAGTCCCCATCCTTCATGGGAAGAGGTTTGTGGGGCTTTCATACTGCATCTTTTCCAACAGCTGCCTCGGGATGTCTTCCTGCCTGGGGTTACGGCACCCAAGTTCTTTTCCTGAAAAGCTGGCAGCAGTAGTGAAGGCCTTGCTGGGCTTGCCGTGTTCTTCACTCTTCACAGAATCACAGAATGGCCAAGGTTGGAAGGGACCTCTGGAGATCATCTAGCCCAACCCCCCTGCTCAAGCAGGCTCATCTAGAGCACATTGCACAGGATTGCGTCCGGGCAGATTTTGAATATCTCCAGGGAAGGAGACAATGACTCCAGGGAAGGAGGCAACCTTTTATGATCAGGGGTTTTCATGTCAGCCTTGCCACACCCCTTGCCTAAGCTACTGTTTCCAGGGCAGTTATTGTGAAGAAAGAAAGGTGAGGGGAAAGCATTCGTCTCGCGTGTCATTCTTGCAGAGGACTTCCCAGTCTGCTGCCTGATGTTTTCATCCCCGTGCTCTTAGTGCTGATGGCTGGACACTGCTTTATCTCTTGCTGGGCAGAAAGGTGGCTCTGAAGGGTGTCCCAAGTTCCACTCTGAGTGTGCCGTCCCTCTTGGGTGCCAGAGCCTCTGGCTCCTGCCTGCTGGGTGCAGGTGCTGGGCTGCCCTTTTCTGGGAGGTGGAGCAAGAAGCATCCCTTCTGCCCAGGGCAGTTGTTTCCAGAGAGGCTTCAAGGAAGCCGTGCTTTTACCTGGGAGACGTTTGAACTGCTTGCGCCGAGAAGATGATCTGATGGGTTTTGCCTCTCCAGCCCATGCTGCTTCCATGCTGCCTGTCTTCTTGCTTCTCCCTGGGGCCTCTGAATCTACCACAGCAGTGTCTGACCATCTTTCCCCTCCCCCTCTGAGGTCACTATCAAACTCCAGTGTCTCGTCCTGATAAATTCCCTGGAGACATCCCTTTTTTCAGCGAAAGAACCTACTGATTGCTTAGATACAGTTGTTTTTTTTGGTCTGTGGACCCAGAGAGGACTACAGAGTTCTTCTGCGCAAGCCGACAATGTAAAACCAAGTGCATTGTCATAGTGTTAAATTTACTGTGTGGTATTGTAGCGCCCCTGGAAATCTTCTGGGAGTTGCAAATTGGAAAAAGGTTGAAAGCTTGCATTAGAGAGGATTTTGTGGGAGGTTTTGTTACCTCTCACTTTCCGTGCTTTGGAAACAGGCTCCTGGCAGAATGCTGTGATCTAGTCTTCCTGCCTGCTTTCAAATGTGCCCACTTGGAGGAGGGATCTGGTGCTGCAGTGGAGTGGAGCTGGAGTGGGAGAAGGAGCCATGTGGAGTGAGGGGAAGTGGGGAAGGAGAACAGGCAGCAGTTGCTCTGCTCCTTTCACAGGCCCTGCTTGTTCTCTTTAGGTGGTGAATGCTGTCAACTGCAGCCTCTTCTCTGCAGTCCGTGAAGATTTCAATGCCCTGAAGCCACACCTGTGGGATGCTGTGGATGAAGAAATTTGTCTTTCAGAGTGTGACATCTACAGGTAATAGGACAAACAGTCACCCCCAGGGCCTGAATCCTGGACCCCCTACTGGACCCCCTTTTCCCGCGTGTTATGGGCTGTAGAGAAAAGGAGTTATTTCTCAAGGGCAGGTTACGTTTTAGTGTGCCCAGCTGTGTATGTGAAGACCGTCCTGCTGGAGCTGGGCAGGACATCCCTTTGCAAGAGTGTGCTGTCTCCCTGCTCAGTGACCACGGAAAGGGAGCCGCTACTGTCATCCCCTTCCCATGCAGAACTTCCACGCCCTGGAAATCTGCGCTCCAGGCAGCGAACTGCTCTGCACTGTGCCTCGTCCTCCTTCCAGAAAGAGCCTGGGGTGGCAGGGTGGTTCCTGCCACCCACGCAGAGCTGCTAACTAGTCTGAGTTGTCTGCCTTTCTCCCTGTGCGCTACCTGGATGTAAAGACGCCCACCTCTCTTCTGCGTTCTGCCCACCCACCCTTCCCTGAGGCAGCTCTGAACTCGTCCGTTTTCCCCCTTCTCTTCCCCCAAGTGATGCAGCTGGGGTGAGAATGGGGCTTGAGTCCGAGAATAAAGTTTGGTGCGATATTTCTCATGTCTTCCACTTGGTGTTGCAGCTACAATCCAGACCTGGATTCAGACCCCTTTGGAGAGGATGGCAGCCTCTGGTCCTTCAACTACTTCTTCTACAACAAGAGGCTGAAGAGGATTGTGTTTTTTACCTGTCGTTCCATCAGGTCAGGCCACATGACATCTGTGAAGTCACCCTAAAAGAATTGCGTTACCTGTTTGCAAGCCGCGTCCCTGCAGGGGAGGAACCTGCCTGGCCCCTGCAGGCCCCCGAGCTGGAACACAGTAGATAAGTGCTTGGGAACTGCCCTCCCGTCTCTGCCCGGCTGCCCCAGCGCTGTTGCTTGCGCACCTGGTTGGCCAGGGAGAGCGGAGCAGGTGAACGTAGCTCGGCCAGAGCCTGGTTCCCTCCGTCTTCCTGAGATGTACAGCACCACTTTAGACTGAAGAACAAGCTGACCAGGAGCCATGGTCTCCAGGGCGTGGGCAGCCCTTCGCTTGGCAGCAGGAGGCTGCTCTCCAACAGGCCCTGGCGCTGCGGGGCACACACGGGGGGCAGTGACCCATCGGATGGCACTGCCAGCAGCCAGCCCCTCCCGCCCGTGGGCTCGATTTGGATGCAGAGGAGATCCTGCTCAGGGCAGGCAGGACTCCAGCAGGGACTTAAGCCCACTGGACAGTTGAACGGGGTTTTTCCCTGTGGACGCACCATCACAGTGGGGCACCAGCTGGGTGCTTACATTATGCTGCCCTTTTTTCTCCAGCGGGTACACATACACACGCTCAGAAGCTGGAAATGAGCTGGATATGGATCTTGGTGAAGAGGACGTAGAGGAGAACAGGGATGCCCGTGACAACGAAAGCGGCAGCATAGAGGAGGACAGGTGTGTGAGCTCAGCGCTCCAGCTGGGCCAGGCGTGTCGACGTGGGCTCGTCCAGGGCGCCTGGTCTCCCTGTGGAGATGGGAGCAGCGCTCCCAGCTCCTTTGGGTGCTGGGGATAGAGGGCCCCGGCCTGCTGGACCCGAGGGGTCTGCTCCTCTGCTTTGAGAGCATGGCTCGGAGCCTGGTGGGGCTGAGCTGCTCTTGCACAGAAGCAGTTGTGCTGCTCCCCAGGGTATCCGGGCGCGCAGCTCTGCACCCCCCTCAGGCAGTCTGTTCCCGTTTCACCCCCTCTTTCTGGCTCGGAGCAGCTGCAGAGCAGTAACGCTTGTGTGCTTCGTTACAGGTTGCAGGTTATTTGCATGTGAGTTTCCAGAACTGCTCCAAGATGCCTCATGACCCTGCTGAATCACCTTTCTGCCTGTGTCCGAGGATGAGGCAGCCCTGAGCTCCCTGAACTGCCCCTGCCCAGCAGCTGTAGCATCGCCCTACTCATACATACACTGGAGTACCCCAGGCATCTTGGAGCACAACGGACTGAAAGCAGCTGCGGCTTCCTGGCTGAAGACACGTCCTCTGGCTCTAGGCGCTGCCAGCAAACGTCCCCTCCTCCGGGATGCTCTCCACGTGCTGCCGCCCGCGGCTGCTGTGACTCTGGCTGGGGCCTGCTGGACAGCTGTGTAGGAGCTCCGAGAAGCTTTGCTGCACTTTATCGCTGATGTTATTGGCTGCACTGACCTGCAAACTCCTCGTGGCTCTGAAGCAGGGCTGGATTTCCTCAAGCACTTTTCTTTACTGGTTGTGACATAGCAAACTCCGTCCATCCATAGCACCAGCAGCAGCAAGGGGTGCGGGGGGAGCCCTTGCTGTGCCTCGGCCTGGACCTCCTCTTTAAGAAGTGTTGTTGAACTCCCCGTGAACTGGCCGTAGCTTGTTCCCTGGAGAAGAGTCCGTTCGTTTCAAAGAGGTTTGCTTTGCTCCTGCCCACCCATGGTGGTTTTCTCTGGTGTGTTTTTTATTTTATTTTTTTATCTTCCCTGAGGGTATCAGCTTTCTGCACTGGTCCTGAGCAACTCCTATGTGCAAACAGGTCCCAAGATGGAGCCCCTGTGGCTGAAAGCTGGACTGGGTGTCTCATCCCAATCTTTTTAAGTTTTTTAAACCACAGATGGCTTTTGACAGTGGCAAAGCCAGAGCAGGGCTGGAGCACGGTGACGGTGTGGGGCAGCAGGCCAGGCAGCGGCTGCGGTGCTGGGATCCTGCTCAACCCGGGCCTAGGGCTGCAGAGTTTATTTTTGTATTCTGGGTGAGCTGGGACTCGCGGCGGGAGCTGTGTGCTGCCGGC